AGGAAGGAAGGAAGGAAGGAAGGAAGGAAGGAAGGAAGGAAGGAAGTCCACTGAAAAGTCCTGGAAAACGGTGGGTACTCAATAAATATTAGCTTTTATTATTATCTACTGAGCATCCACTAAGTGCCAGGCATTGTGCTGGAACCGGATGTACATAAAGGAATGAGCCATGGAACAAGAGCTTACAGTCTGGGAGAAGTAGAAACTCATGGAAATAAATGCAAGAGGTTTCACAAGCGCTTTAATGGAAGTGTGCTCAGAATGTGGTGTGGACATCAAGCAGAAGAGCTCAATTATGGAAAGGAATTTGCTACGGAAAAACTTATCAAACAAGGTGACCCTGAGTTCAGCTTCCAGGCCCAAGAACAGCTGAAGTCTGTTCGTCAGCAATGAGCTTTTTATTCAGTCTGGGAATTGCAAATAGTTCCTTTTAACCAAAGCACTAGGGGCAAAAGGGATAAAATAATAGGGACTTAACAGGGAAGTCAAGGCTAAACTGGGTAAGAAGGGACCAGACCAAACCAAAGAGTGTAATTTGAGTGGCACTGAGAAGCCTGGGTGGTTTGAAACAAGAGAGTGACAGGTGAGATCAGAACAAGTATGGACCCTGGAAGAGCATCACCAACAGTATTTGGGAACCTGTTAGAAATGTAAAATCATGGGGCGCCTGGCTGGCTCAGTTGATCTCAGGGTTGTGAATTCAAGTCCCAGGCTGGGGGTGGAGCCTACTTAAGGTTGTTTAAAAAAGTGCAAAATCTCAGGGCATGTGGGTGGCTCAGTTGGTTGGGCATCCGACTTCGGCTCAGGTCATGATCTCCCGGTCCGTGGGTTTGAGCCCCACATCAGGCTCTGTGCTGACAGCTCAGAGCCTGGAGACTGCTTCGGATTCTGTGTCTCCCTCTCTGCTGCCCCTCTCCCGCTCAAGTTCTGTCTCTGTCTCTCTCAAAAATAAACATTAAAGAAACTTTAAAAAAATGCAAAATCTCTACTGTAGCCCAGATATGCTGAATTAGAACTCTCCAGCAATCTATTTTAACACACCCTCCAAGGGATTCTGAGTGTGAAAGCAATTTGAGTTAGAAAGAGCACTCAGGCAGTCTGGGGCAGGGGATCTCCATAGGAAGCTGCCACAATACGCCAATGGTGTGGAATCATTTATTCACTCAACAAACAGTCCCCGACCAGTTACTGTGTGCCGGTGACTATTCCGAACATTAAAGAGACCGCAGTGAGCAAAGCAGAGACAAACCTATGTAGCAATGCAGTATACGTTCGAGTGGAAATCATTATCTGTCATCTATATAGTCCCAGGTGCTGTCCTAAATGGTTTATATTTCTTGTGTCATCCTCAAAACTACCCTATCAGGTACAGTTTTGTCTTCACTTTACAGTTAAGAAACCTGAAGTTCAGTCAATTTGGTTAACAAGATCTCTGTCTTTCTGGAAATCACATTCTTGCAGAAGATAAACAATAAAATTAAGAAATAAAGCAATTTAAACAGTATATGAGGTGGTGATAAGTGCTGTGGACAAAAGAAACACTAGAGCATAATAAGGGGTATAGAGAGCATGATAGGAGGAGTGAGCTAAAGAGATGGGGCTGGGAAAACTTGAAGAAGAGGAAGTCAGCCAAGGGGATAAATGGAGCAAGACCATTCCAGGCAGAGGCAAAAGCCACAACTAAGGCCTCAGTGTGGAAGCTAGGCTAGGAACTGCCAGGTCAGCATGGCTAGAGTGGAGTGATCCAGGGCTCCAGAGCAAGGGAAGAGAGAATCTTGTAAGGTTTTGCTGGGTTTTACTTTGCAAGATGGGGAGCCATCGCAGGACAAAATCTGAATGATGTTTTAAACGGACTGCACTGATTGTTGCTTTGGGCATAGACGAAGGGAGACAAGAGAGACCTATTGGGGACTATCGCAATAACCAGAGTAGGGGGAAAACGGTGGTGGCTTGGACTCACTGGGAACAGAAAAGCCAACAATGACGGATAAAGAAGGCAAGGCAAAGAGTGGACTCTAGGACCCATTTACTGAAGGAGGAAGACTGTGGAAAGGGCAGGTTGCGGATGGGGTGCTTGGGGGGGGGGCGGGGAGGGGGGTCTTGGATAACCAAGTGCATGTTGAATATAGGCTGGGTATACAGGTCTGGAATTGAAAAAGAGATCTGGGCTGAGGAAATAAATTTGGGAGTTATAGGCAAATCGACAGTATTTTAAATAAACGAATAAAGGTAATGATACAGAAAAATCATCTAAGTTACGGGTGTTGTTTTTTGTAGGTTTACTAATTGTCAGGCACCATGCTCTACCCTGTGAATTGGTTAGTTCATTTAATTTCAACAAAACGAAAAGAAGCATGAGACAGACAGGACATATCTACTATCAGGAACCAAAATCGCCA